CGTGTCGGGTGGAAAAATGGCCGCGGACCACGTGTCGGGTGGAAAAATGGCCGCGGACCGTGTTACGGGAGGGAAAATGGCCGCGTATCCTGCTCGTACCCCGAGGCGGAGTTCGCAAGCTGAAGCAAAATTTTGCGGCCGGAGCTGGTCGTAACCCGAAAAGTTCATTAACAGAAGCGTTCGTAACCCAAGGTTCCACTGTATTAGAATATGATGAAGATGGAGTCAACCTGGCAATTTCCTTAGGATGTTTGGTAGTTTTTAACATGTGCCAATAGGTCTGTGCAACATTTTTAGTTGTTGACATTCACATCCATGCCGCTGTAGACAATATGATTAACAGCAGGCTTGAAAACTTGTGAGTCACAAAATGCAGATCAGCAGACATTTATATCACCCCATTAATGCCTTCCTTTAGATCCAGAGTTGCCCTGTGCAAGGAAAACAGTATTTCCATTGGATGTACCTGTTTTACTCTCCAGCTCAGAGTCCTTGTTGCAGCTTACAGTGTTATATTCACTATTGTTCTAATTCTCAGCAGATCTGCTGGGGATTGCATTAGACTCAAATTAGAGGAAATGACAGTGAAAAACAGGAGGTGAGAAACCATGTATATAATTATAATAAAAAACGTAATTTATGTTGCCTGCTGGGGATCACAAAAGGCAGCCAAAGGAGAGTTGCAGAGAATTCACAGATTTTTCTTTCCTTTTGGCACAGAGAGACTTTTTCCTAAAGATTTTTGAGAATCTTTTGGGCTACATTTATACTTGGGGGAGGGGGATGAAAAAATCTCTTCTTCCTTTATTTTGTACTCTTGTAAATATAACCAATTATACATACAGACATAAACACACATTAATTATGTAAGAAAAAAAAATTCAAATGGAGTTAAATGCTACATATTAACTAAATTACTACTTTGGCCCTAATTCTAAAACACCACTGTTAATGCCCAGTGCATTTCTTTTTTGGAAACTCTGCTAGCCTAGTGCCTTAAAAGTATATGGTATCTATAAGATATATTGCTACTTAAGTCAACTGGGGCAAAATGTATAAAACATCATCTTAACTGTTGTCAGTTTTATGTTGTTCATTAATTTCTTCATAGTATGACCAAAAGAAGCTGTATATAAATTTGTTTATTTCTTTTTATTATTTGAACTTGAGATTCAGGCTCTGTAAGTCTTTTAACTTGGTCAAGATCAATTTAAATCCCCAATACTTTGTGTCAAAGGGACTTATGCTTGACTATATAGTACACAGCAAAAATGAGGAATGTAAGAAGAAAGTTCATCCAGGAAATTGGGTAAATAAAGTATTTGTTAACAAAAGCCATTTAGGAAACCTTCAGATAAATTATTTTGTGTTATTTATCTTATGAAACAATAAATATTAAAAAAAAAAAGTTCAGAACCCTGCTTATATGTTATCAGATGTAGGCTCTGGTAAGTTGTTTCTGCAGATCTTGGAGAAAAACAATAGTAAAGATAACAAAAGCAGGAATATGTCCTTCCAGTGCTGCAGAATAATCCCTTTGGCCATCCTTGTGTATGAAAAGTCTGTATTTCTGGATGCCTTGGTAGATTCCAAATACAAAGAAGAATCTGTGCATCTCTGAAACACATAAGCAATCTAAAGTCATGGCTGGTGTGGGTCTTCCAGGCTGTGTGGCCGTGGTCTTGAAGTCCTGTTTCCTAACGTTTCGCCAGCACCTGTGACCGGCATCTTCAGAGTGCTGGAGCACAGACGGGAGCAGTGCTCTCTGTGCCCAGGGTGATGTGGCCCTTTAAGAAAAAACCCTGCCTAACCCCCAGGAAGATACACACAGGTTCTGACACCAAAACAAGCAGCCACTCAGTAAC